AGAGGCTAGTTTTGCTCCCTGATCATACAGGATGCAATTGCCATTAATTTCAGCAGTAATGACTCTCTATCTAGAAAATCTTGCACTTGCAAAGTTAGGCTGGGAAATTCTAGTGAAACAGAGTGGGAAATTTCAGTTAGAAACGTCTACCCTTGAGCTGTTCTATCAGAGGATGTGGCATCAGAGAGCAAGACAGCTGTTGATGGATTGCTCCATCACATGATAACTTCACTAAGGTGTGTGCGCTTGCTATGAACACGTTGGAAGTGGACTGCTGGGCATGACCTAACTGTGCTTTAAAGGAGTTTTTCCTTCTCAGATCTCAGACAATGCAATGCTTGGCTTGTCCTTTTCAGTTAAGATAACTGCTTTTGAATTGAAAGTAAGCTGATTAAAGGTAATTACTGCTGAGGGTCATAAACATCATAACTGTGAGAGTAGACAAGGAAAGCAGAAACCTTGCAGAAACTCTAGGATGAGCCCTCTCACCAGTATTCAAGAACCACATGTAGTTTCAGCAACCAAGAATGGCTGTTACTTTAGACTTACTATTAATCTTTGGAAACAACTGTTTCATATCATGGACTTTTGTTCAAAATCAAATACACCAATCTGCCCCTGGAATAAGCAGATCCTCTTTACTGCCCCATACAGAGAGCTGCTTCAGCACCCTTAGCATAGAGAGTTAGCAAATTAATTAATTTATGCAGCTGCAGTGCTGAATCCCACAGCTAAATCATAGACAATGACTGTGACAGCAAAGTATGTGTGTGGTGACCTTTGGGGGTCTTGTGCTGTTATTGCTTTAATCTCTAGAATATAAACAAAAGGATTACTTCTTTCTCTAATGGAGTGACAACTTTTTTCTTGTAATCTTGCTCAAGTGCATCCTAATCCTGCTCTTTACCAGGGAGCCTTGTAATCCTTTGCATTGTCATTCTCACTGGGGTGAATATGGATGAAAATAGCTTAGCACATAAAGAGATAGTGTTGGCTTTCTGTGACCATATAGCTTTATGCACACAGAGAGTTCTAGGATGTTTAATGTATTGACACATTTATATTTAAGCCTGTCTGCAAATGGGGATGATTTACTCGGGGCAAAGCCAAGTGAAGAGTTCAGATAGTCGCTTCTTCGAGGCCTTACTGAGGAGCTTGAGCAAAGGAGTAAATTTTGGAAAATTCATTCAGCTCTCTGAGTAATTGGGTTGGACTATAAAAATGACAAAACTAAAATTTCTTCTCTTACCTGTGCCTTCTTTCACCCACATGTTTCAGAGCCCTTTATAAACACCGATTTAATCATCTTATAGTTTTCCCAGGATGTATTATGCCTCTGTGATTATCTGGGGTATAGAAAGGTTTGACTAAACAGCAGACTATTGTATGGTATAAAGAACAATATATATAAGGCTGACTGAAAACTTGAATATCCTGGAATAGTTTCATGTAGGTTTTCCTAACAATATTTACTTAAAAAAGAAAATCAAAAGTTTCAGAAAGATCTATCATAGCAAAGTTTAGAGGTCTCCATTTGGAATCTGCTGTTTTAACCCAAAGGAATAACAGCAGCTGTGGTCGTAGGGAAACAATGCCGAGGTGCAGATTTCCCTCACAAGAAGGAGACGAATATCCTAATTCAGTCTGACAACACAGCTATCAGAAATCTAACTCTCCTGGCAGACTGTGGGTGTGGAACTAAATACAGATAGAGATGAAATTTCATCATGTGGATTAACGGCTAAATACATCAGCAGAGCTTTTTCACTTCAGTGTTGTGGGCACTCAGTCACCCAGTCTGAAAAATTTAGTACAAGCCATCTTCAGCCCACTCTTATACTAGTTTACTCCATTGTCTTGCATGCTTACATCAGGCTATACAAGAGCAGAATTTGGTGTCTACTCTCCAACCAACATACAGCTCAGAGCAAAGAATGACAGTCAAATAAATCACAGGCTTTTTTTTAAATAGCTAATGGCCCCATACTATCAAAGAAAGTTCATTATCTTCTTCATTTTTAAGCCTGATCTTCTGTACCAAATGCATGCATTTGACTCCCAAATTATGGTTTCTCACACTCAGACGTGGCTACGTCTGGCATTTATAGGCCCTGAGGGGAAGAACCTGTTATATGTACTGCAGGCACTGAGAGCACTTAAAAAACATAAGTGCGGGATTTCTGAGCCACGTCTCCTTGGAAAAGGGTATTGCAGATATGCACTAGTGCATCCCCTGCTTTGCAGGGCCCTCCACCTGTTAGTGCTGTGTTTACTCCCTCCCCACTCACCTGCCTTTAAAGATTAATCACTAGTTAGAGACATCAGGAGGAGCTATTGCAGTATGCTTAATATTTAATAAGTGTTTAGATAAACATTCTCCATGCTTTTTTGTGTGTGTGTTCCTAGAAAAAGGGCTTGGCACATCTGCCCATGGGACAAGCAGTAAATTGCCTGGTGGCTTAAGAACAATGTTAGAAGCCAGGACCTCTAAGTTGAAGTCCTGCTCCTGCAATTTATACAAACAGAGGTTTTCACACCAACCTCTACTCACACACCTCAGGTATCAATTGCACAATCATACCAGGTCACAACCCTTTCCACCAGAAAGATATCCTCTCCTTCTTATATCTTTGAGTTCTTGCAGATGCTGTTATCCTGTTCCTCTTACTTCTATGAGGACCAAAGTTAGGAACCTAAATTCATTCGAGCTTAAGTTAGATGCGTAACTTAGAACTGGCTGCATTCATACCACCTAGTGTATGACCCTAAATAAACAGAATCATTTCTTCATGTTGCCGCTACCTTTCTGGCCAGTCTTGTTGATACAGATTGTAACAGCATCCCTTGCAACACCCACGTGTATCAGCGAGCACAACGGATCCCTAACCAACCCCAGACCGAGCATTCTTTATGCTAGAAATGATGAATGGAAGATACTGGTATCCTCCATTGTCTTTGTATCTACAAGGCAAAACGTGGCTGGAAGCAACTTCCACACCACTCAGTCATGCAGCAAAGTCAAATTATAGGTAATGATTTTTGTAGCCTGGACCACAATCCATTGAAAGCACCAGTCTCGTTTTCATTCCCACAAGCCACGCTCGAACCTCAGCGGAGGGGCAAAGAGGCGCGTGTGTTTGATCAACTCAGCTCCTTCTAATGTGATTTCTATTTCAGAACTGTTTCTTTTTATGCCCTCAAGTCTTTCTTGACAATATCACCTGTGGCCTAATGTGACAGCAACACTAAATTATATCTTGATGGCTAATTAGGCTAATTAAAATGAAAGTAATCAAAGCAAAGGTCAATCCCTTAATACAGTGTCAAAAATATCTATTAATCATAGAGCCTTTTTTCTCCTCTGAACATCAAAGAATAAGGAGAAGCCTGGACTTTAGAATTGGCCCTGGCTTAAAGGAACATTGTCAGCCTCAACACATCCTAAAAATATCACTGATCTACTACTAAAAACGTTTCTGACTATTAAAAACTAAGGCTAAAAACTCAGGATCCACCACAGACACTGTCTGCTGCCTGTAGTAATTAATTCACTTTATCTAGTCACACCAAAGGTCAAGTGATCAGGTTTACTTTTCTTTACGTATCAGTTTCTCCCTCTGGCTGCCCCTTCCAGTATAACGCACTTCGCATCTAAAATGGTCTCTTAGGAGAAGAAAATAAAAGCGAAAACCAAACCTTGTCAAAAAAAAGCTCATCTTGAACCAAATCTTAAAGTCTCCTCTGCCTGTTGCAGGGCAGATCCTGTCTGAAAGCCCGCCACCGGGAGGGGGACGGAGCCCCCGCCAGGGCTCAGCTCC